TAGGGTGTCGGCGCATCCCGGGGAGAGGTGGGGGGTGTGATGGGTGACATGTTGATTATCGCTGATATGTTTTGTGGGTGTCGGTGTGGAGCGTTCTGACCAGATGTGTCCTGGTACACTTGGTTCGTATTGTGTGTGTTCGTGCCGGCAACACTCTATGGTTAACATGCATCGTGTGCGGATGAAAGCGGGGTCCTGTGGGTCTTGGAGGAGGGTGCTTGTTTTGCCTAGGGCATTAAAAATGTGGGCATGTTCGACTTTTTTTTCCTAATTGATAGGAGGGTGTGAATCGAAACGTTGTTGTCGTTGATACAACTTTTAATGATGTCTCTGCATCCCTGCATTGAATATTCGTCGCGTGGGTGAAACATTGCTCCAGGTTGCAGACCTGAAGGAGACCCACACACACGCTAAAAATTGGGGTCTTGTCGAATCCCATCGCGAACACATTCCTGCGCTTCAAGTGAGCATGCGCGGAGATGGGAAAAATTGCAAGGCTCCAAAATTGCGGAATCAAAGCGTGCCTCAGAGTTCCCGCCAACACCCAACGTAGTATTGGGTTGCAAGAACAAGTCTTGCAAATAGGAAAACACCAAACGATATGCATGTCCGCAGATTGGCGGCACGGCAGGTTACCCCCAAGACAGCAATCAATGTCTTCGGCGTTTTTCAACCATATTATCCTTGATACTCATTTGTTGCCTCAAGGCATCCTCTCAAAGTGTTGTTGCCAGCCAAACAACCCACACGTCTCTGCGGAGGCGCACGTATCCTAAAAAAAATGATGCTACGAAAAGACTAAGTCGTTGACTCAACCATGCCCAACAAAAAAATTGAAACCTCCCCCCCCCCTGGGCCAAAAAAAAAGAAGGCTACGACCCTCGCAGCAAGCAAGCCCTGCAGCAGGGAGAGAAATAAAAAAACGCATCCTCGTGTTCGTTGAATACAGTCACAGCAACTTGCCCGTGAACCACAACGGTCTCGGCTTTCTTCCACTATATTTATTTTGTTGATACTCCTTTGTTGCCGTAAAGCATCCGCTCAAAGTGTTGTTGCCTACCAAACCCACACGTCTATGCGGAGGCGCACGTATCCTCAATGCTGCGACGAAACGAAGACGTTGACTCAACCATGCACAACGATAAAAATGAAACTACCCCCCCGCCCCCCGCTCCGTCACGCATGCATAAAATTCGACGATTGCACGGTAACACTCTTCCGGGNATGCGGAGGCGCACGTATCCTCAATGCTGCGACGAAACGAAGACGTTGACTCAACCATTCCCAACGATAAAAATGAAACTACCCCCCTGCCCCCCGCCCCGTCACGCATGCATAAAATTCGACGATTGCACGGTAACACTCTTCCGGGAGTGCATATGGGTGTTATTCGTCGCCAAACATTTCCTCCTCGATGCCGGCCAACATTTTGCGCAGGAATCTAACTCTCGGCTGATAACCCTCTGCTTTTTCATTCTCCTGCTCCACAATTTTCTTCGAGAATTCGGCGTGGGACTCGGTCATTTCCTTCTGGAGGGCGAGGCCAGAAGCCTTGCTGTCGTGTTCAGCAGTCTTGCAAGCGTGTTCCTCTTTTTTTTT